TATATATATTCTAAAGCACAAAGGGTGTACAGGAAGGTAATCAGCACGGCTCAACGCTTGGGAAAGATGTATATATATAATACATTATACATACATATATATATATTCTAAAGCACAAAGGGTGTACAGGAAGGTAATCAGCACGGCTCAACGCTTGGGAAAGATGTATATATATAATACATTATACATACATATATATATATTCTAAAGCACAAAGGGTGTACAGGAAGGTAATCAGCACAAAGCTATCCTGGAAATGGTCAAGTGTTTCGGCCCCTTGTTCAGCTTCTGGAAAAGACGAGGAGTTTTTTTCTCTAACTGTATAACCAAACAAATATATATATATATACACCAATATAACCAAACACATATATATATATATACACCAATATAACCAAACAAATATATATATATACACCAGTGCATGATTACTCAAACTAATATGCATAGCGGTACACACATACAATGCTCAAATGTACACCCTCAAACATAGATAAATACACATACACACTTACACATACACACACACAGACACACACACACACACACACAATCACTTACTCATACATATAAACGCTCAAAACACATTATAAACAGTCTTATATACACCCCCTTCAACACACACACACACACACACACACACACACACACACAGACAAACACAAAACACACAGAAAACACACACACATAGACAAAAAACACATAATAAACACACAGCTAGAAACACGCGTACGAAACCCACAAAACCACCACTTACAAAGCACATGACCCATTCACTTCCTTTCCGCCACTTTCACCTCGGCCCCCACAGACGGCTCGCCATTTCATTGCCCCATTACCTGTCATATTAAGGACCCTAAAACAATCAGCAGGAAATGTTGACGACAATCGTAAACTCTCTAATGTCTCTCCGACCCTACTTTAATCCTTTTATCTTTCCTGTACTCGGTAAAACTTATGTTTTTTACACGACATATTTCTCAGTACTGCCTACAGTGTTGTGTGGGTTTTACACGCGTCCTAACACTGTAATGTTCTGAGAACGTAACGCCCATCTCCGATAGGGCTGAGCCAACTAGGTGCTGGAAGTTCTGACGAATCGCTCAAAAGCTAGAACCACGGAGGGCCTGACCGGCAGTTGAGTTAAAATTGTAGAAACAATCGAGACTTACCTGTAAGTTGATGATTGTTTCTGATTTTGACGATCTGTCGTCAGGAACGGAGTGGTAATATGCCCTCCCCCCTTAATCCATCCCGATGTGTATGACATACAGTGCTCCAGTGCACAGTCCATTGATGTTGCTATGATGATATTATATATTGTGCATGCCAAAGTTGTACTACATGTATAACACTATGGGCATGCTCACATCAACTGTGACTGGCGGAAGAGTGACTGGATAATAATAATGGGGGCTCCAGTGGCTAAGTGAGTAGTGAGTTTTGACTCAAGCAATGTCAAGCAAGTGTCGGTGACACGGGGATCAGATGGGTGGTCACTGGAGT